GGATCGGGGCTTGAGAAAAGGCCATTAGAAGATGAGGAAGAGGTAATTTAGAATTCCGGGTGAAGGGATGCATTATAGCCAAGATGTAGACCACACTTTCAAGAAGTTTGGTAATTGAGAGGTAGGGTGGCCGAAGGGTTGAGGAAAGGCATGAATTTAGGAAGCGATGACTGGGCATGAGGTCAGAGGAAGACACAGGTGAGGGAGGAACTAATTGAGGAAGGTCCTTGAGGAGGTGGGAAGGAATGGGATTCAGAATTGCCATGGCTTGTATTTTTACTTTCCCAAATAAGCTCTGGAAATTCTCAACTGCAATCATATATGCAGGGAATTGTCAGCCAGTGTTAATCTGACATTTTCTAAATTTGTTAAAGGAAAAAAAAAAAAAGAGAAAGATTTTTAAATCAAATGGAGAGTACTTACTCCAACTATCTTTACCAAACCGTCTTCATATGAATTACCTTATCTATTCTTCAATAATAAGAGTCAACTAAAATGAGAAAAAATAAGGAAAATAAGAATACTGCTCCTGAAAGATCGTGAATGTTAGAAAAGTCTAAAAATGCTAAGTCAGCATTAACAATTATCCCCAGCTACCTTTCTAAAAGAGGATACCCTTTGAAACTTCAGTGACTTAAGTTAATAATAGTGAAATAATAAGACATTCTTGCTAAATATGGCACGGGTTGTTTCAGGCCCAATTTAATTTCTGATTACTCTGCAGATTACTCTGCCCACTTGAAAAAATCAGAATGCCGTTATTGATGATATTCTGTCCTGTGATAAAATGTTACTTTAGGCAAAAATAAACTGAATTACCATGCAGCTGCCAGCAGGGACAGCTTAATCTCTGCTCTCAGCAGCATTGCCCGCAGCATAAAACCCAAACTCCTGAGCTTGGAATTCAAGGATCTTTGTAGTGAAATCACAACCTAAATTTCTGATTGGGCTCCTGCTTTTCCTCTCCATTCACCCCATGCCCATTGGCACACCTCCATGGCTGTGCTGACGTCCTGTGTAGTCCAGAGCACTCCTTACCCGAGCCCCAATCCCCTGCCCTGGTCACAAAGCCACAATGCAGCTCTAGCATAGCAGACAGTGCCCCAGTCCTGGAGTCAGAAGGACTGCTCTGCCATTGTCCAACTTTAAGGGCCTGACCTGAGGTTATCCCCAAGGTCACTGAAGCTCTCATCTTGGGGTGATTTTCTGAACAATAGGGTAATCATCATAATTCACCCCAGAGAGTTATGATAAAGATTAAGTAAGGCATGGAAACAGTTACAAAATGTACATTTTCTAAAACCACAAACTGCTTTGCAGGTGTGCTTCAAAACCGACCCTTCTTTTTCACCTTCAAGGCCATTTTCTTGAAAACGGGGGGCCAAATCTTGTCCATGTGTTTAGTCAAAGCACTGATAAGAGTGTCTGGTATGTAATAAAGCTCAATACGTGCTGAGTGGCTTCATCAGAGAAAGTGAACTTTTAGGGGAAACAAGAGGAAAGGAGGCTCTCATGAGAGTAGACAGCTGACTTCTCCAGATTCTTACCCCTTCTGTCTCCCCTTCCTCCTCTTATTTCTCTTTCCTCTTTTTGCCTTGTCTCTCTGACCTCTTTCTCTCCTCCACTAAGAGAATAATAAAAGAAGGCTGACTCCTCACCACTATGTCCCCCTTCCTCAGAGAGGCCTTCACTGGTGCCACCTATGGGTCTCATTTTTATAAGCTCAGTGCCCAGCACAATGCCCAGCACACAGAAGGCACAACCCAAACACGTAAACCAATGAGTCCAATGCCGACACACGTGAGGCCGTGCCTTTCTCTGGTAACCTGGCAGGCATCTTTCTCTGAAGAGACTCGGCCCTCAGAACCTCCCTAACTGAGCACTCCAGGCAGTCACTGCTGTCCAGCAGAAATAACATGGAAATAAAACCAATTTCCCATCTCTGGGACAGCAACTGTTGATTTAATTGCAGTAATTGTCACTAAGGGTTGAATGACCAAGAGGTTTAAGGAAGGCAACGGATGCAGAAAGGACGTTAACATCTGTATTTCAGAAGAAATGTTTCTTGTTTTCCATTTAGTAGAAATAAAAGATGGGAAATAGCATGTACTCTGTGATAAGTACATCATTATTCTACATAAGCTTCATAATTCCAGGATGTAAAATCCAATTTTACAGATGAAGAATGGAGATTGAGGTTAACTACCTGAGCCAATCAAAAACCACCAGCAAATGATGCAATGGGCGTTTGACTCAAATCTGTTCAGCCCCGAGCAATTGCTGATTTCAGATAAAAACTAGTCAAGAGACAAAGTTGAAAAGGAGGCTCCTTATCAGGTGTTGTTACAAACAATGATACGGTCTGCCCTTTCTTGGAGACACCGCCCTATCCTTGTTTGGCGTAGCTCCATCAGGGACACTAATCCATCTGTTTGCTTCTCTAACCATCTGGCATTACCTAGGGGACATGCTTTTCTTGCCATTTTACCACAAATGACTGTGTGATGGAGTCGCAGGAACTAAGAATCGCAGACTGATCACAGGACAGGTACTTTAGAAGCTGTGAGAAGCCCAAGGGGTATGGAATCTTTGTCTAATGTATAACCATCTTGCAGACATAGGCATAAAGCCAATATGAAGGCTTAAAAGGTACCCAATGGGCAAGGATCAAGAATGCCTTTCTATTCAATGCTCAAAGCGTCACTGATTCCTTTACCTAGGAAAGGCCCACCCAGCCAGCTGGTTTAGACCTAATGTTGGGGCTGACAAATATTAGTTCAGAGAATGAATGTGTGTCTGACATTCCATGGGTAACTGTCCAACTGTTCTGAAGCCTCTTCTGTCCTGCCACCTCCACAGAAGCTGGAAATGCGGATACCCCTTGGCCTAACCTCCCTTTCATGGGTGACCTTGTGATCTAGTACTAGCCACTGAGACATAAAAGGAAGTAGACAGATTTCCTTCCCTGATGAAAGGGAAGAAGGGCTTCCACAGGTGGACCCTTTCTACTCCTTTCCACTTTGTACAAGGGCATGAGGTCTGGGGCTACAGTCGCCATTTGTGACCATGAAGCAACAAGCCTGAAGATGAAACACAACATGCAAAAGATGGCAAGGCATTAAGATAAGAAAATCCTACTGACCAGCCATGATGGGGAGGCAGGGCCATGTGCCCATATCAGGCCCTATGCTTGGTACTGGTAGGATCAGAGTGAGGAAGACAGAGACTCTATTTTCTTGAATTCTTACTTCTCAGGAGGATTTGAGCGTGGTCCAATACTGAACCGTCAGAGATGCTGAAATGCTGAGCACAAAGCGCTGAAGCGTGCAACTACTTCCTATATGTGAGATGTTTAACACATCACAGAGACTGGGACCTTGGCTTGGTCTAACCCAGGGTCTAGAAACACAACCAAGAAGTTGAGGCTTTCTCTAGAGGTACTAGATTTATGCAGAGGCAGGAACAAGAGCAATGTCATCGTCAAATACCATATACACCTCGAATACTGTAGAAACTGCAAATACGCCTGAATACAGTGTTGTATACGTTCCTTTGCAAGTAGGGGTCAAACTCATGCAGCAGTTGGGTTCTCCTGGCCCTGTCAGCAGCAGGGGAAACAGAAGCAAACTTGCCTGAAAAATATTGACTGGAAGAGAAAAGTATCTGTTATGTTACCAGAGTAAAAAGGAAACGTGAGAGAAGTAGGACATGACTTTTGGCTCACTGAACACCATCTATGGCTACTGAAGGATCAGAAAGCTTTTTTTGTACTCTCAACTATTTTGTTTATCTTCTGTATCTTTTTTAAGTTTTTTATAATTAAAAAAAGAAAGCTTTACTTTCTTTTCTAATTACAAAGGTATACATGCAATGCCCCCTCAGGGATTGGCCTCACTCATAGACAGTGGAGAGCAACGTGATCCAGATGAGGTGATGAGTAGGAATAATATTCTGGTGGCAGCATAAGGGTTGGCTTAGGGCAGTCCAGTCCAGGTAGTTCAAGAAGAGAGGAATTTATCAGAGGAAGTATGCTACAAGGGCTATAGAAACCAAAGGGAAGTTACGTAAAGGAGATCCCAGACACCAGAAAGCTGCCACAAACCTGTACAGTGCCCACATGCCTGCACTCACTGATAAGCAGCTGGAGACACCAATTCCCACTCCTGCCACCTCTGGAGCCACACAAACTGCTGGGATGCAGTCAACTGTGGTGGCCTGAAACTGCCATTCCAGGAGACGAACAGAATGGCTTCTTTGCCAGCTAATCTCCCACCAGTGTCTCCAACCAGCTGACAAGTGTGTTTGAGGAATGTGGTTTCTAGGCATCCTCCCCCTGCCTCACAGAGAAAAGCACGGAAGGACACGGATGGATCTGAATGCCAAATCTTGCAAAAGAGGGGACCCAGGAGAGTGTTAAAAGCCAGGATATGGTTCTCCCTGGAGGAAGGAGGCTGTTGTTGTACTGTGTCCTCTCCAAGGCAGTCTAGCATAGTGATTCAGGGCATAAACTTTGTGTCCTCATATGCAAACTGGGAAATAACACCTACCTCAAAGGATTGTTATGAGGGTTAAATAGGTTACTGTAGGTAAAGTATTTAGGACAGTGCCTGGAGTATAGCTCCATTCAATAAAGGATAGCTATTGTCATGTTACTTTCACTCTGATTTCAGTTTTGCCATCTGTAAAGAAAACTTAAGAAGGAGGGGGTTAAATCATCTTCGCTGCTCTCTAACCAACCAGAGGAAAGGGGAACTAATAGTTATACTCAATCTGATCCTGATGCAGGGCTGGAGTTTGGAGACGCAGAGAAAAATAATATCCCTGCCTTCAAAGAGCTCACGGTTTGATGAGAAGGCAGAAGAAAATCACTGATTCAAGTTAAAATGTGCACAGTGGTAGAATGTATACAGGGAATGGTCTAGAAGAGTACAGAGATGGGTATTGTAGCATAACGGAAAGATTTATACAGACTCCACTTTAAACCCAAAATTATTCTCTTGTGACGCTGGGCAATTCACTTAGTCATCTCTGCCTCAGTTTCCTTGTCTGTTAAAGTGGAGATAATGAAAGAACTTCCCTCACTAAGCCATTGTGAACATTAAGGGAGCTGTACATACAGCTGTAGTACCTAGCACAGAAATGCGTTCAAAAGTGATCATTATTATGATTCCCACGGTCCACGAGAAGTGTACAAGGGTTCAGGCACAAGTCCTGAACTAAAGAAATGGAAATGGAAGGAGGAAAGGGCGGCTAAAGAGGGACTCATCCTTATAGGATCGCTTGATTATTGTGTATAAAGTTAGAGAAACTGGCGAGGCACCCACCCCAGGTGGCGCGCTGGCGCTCTGCCTCGGCGTCCTCGTTGCCCGTGGCAACCGGCAGTCCCTACCTCTGGCCCGGTAGGCGCTGCGCAGGGGCAGCAAGATGGCTGTGAGCTCCTGGTCCTCAGAGCTGGGGTTCGGCAGCGAGAAGGCGCTGCAGGCGGCCGCTGTCTCCACTGGCCCCTCCCTGGAATTATGCACCTTCCCCTCCACCCTGGGCTCCTCGGTCGCGGCTGCCGCCCTGGAGCAGCTCTTTGTTGTCGGTGAGAAGCCCGTGGGCTCCCGGAGGGACGTCATCTCGGAGGTGGCGCCTAGGCGGCATTAAGCGGGAACCTTCGTGGGGACCCTCCTCCCAGAACTCAGGGCATCCCTGGTAGGGCAGAACCTTCTCCAGCTCCTTGGGGGAGAGGGGGGCGAAAGAGTGGGACCCAGGGCTCAGCTCTGTGGCTTGGCCCAACTCACACTAATAGCTGGTGACAAATTGCGGACAAATCCCTGGACTCCCAGACCACTGCTATTTGCCTGTGATTGGAGTGCCCACCTGCATTTAGATTATGTATTTAATTTCATCTTGTCCCTTCTCGCCTTTTCTTTGCAAGTTAATTTCCTCCAACACTTTGGCATGGCAAACTGGAGGGTTTAACAGGTAAATAAGAAAGGAAGAAACACCTGTTGCATTAGGCAAGGAATTGTGCATTAGGCACAAATACTTTTTCTGCTAATAATTTATTGACGCTCAGAAAGTTTGTCATAGGAAAAAAATTCATTATGCTTTCTTGCCCTGAGTGTGAATTATAAAGTGTGTAGCTCTCCAGCCCATTTGCAAGTGGGAGTACGCTTGTGCTTATTCATTCCATAGAAAAAAGGAAAAGAGACAGCAGGCAATACCTGTCCCTCCCTAACACACACTTGCTTGGAAACTCAGTAACTGATTTTTCACTTGGTTTGAGAGCTTAGTTCATTAAGAGAATCCAAGTTTTCAGGAACTGAGGGCAGAAATTGCTATTTACTCTTCTGAGAGTTGAGGATGGCCACTCAGGGCCCTGGACTCTGGAGTCACACCATTTGTGTCTGAATCCAGACCTCTTATAAGTGATGGGCTCTGTGACCTTGCGCACATGACATGACCTCAAAAGTCTTAGATTTCTCACCTCTGAGATGGGAATCATCATGAAGTTATAAGAATCAACTTAGATTATACATACATGTGAAACATTAAACACATCAAACTCATCCCACACATGTGGATACAGGCCTGGAATCCATTTAGACAGAATCTGTATAATGGAATGGTGACAGAGCCAAGGTGAGTAGAGCTTCCTCTGTTTTCTCTCCTCTTCCTTTTATATTTTATTTTTCCTTCCTTCTTCCCATTCTGCATGTATCTTGTCTTCCTTTGCCTACCAACATTTTCCAAGCCTCTTTTCCTATGTGATTTCAACTTACAGTGTGTGAGAGAAAAGGCGCTATCTTTCATATGTCGATGAATGAAAAGGGTTAGAAACTCTATCTACCTCACACCTACCAGTTTTACAAATACTTACTCTCATCCCATGATTAAAATATTGGCATGGAAGTGAAAATGACATAATGAATTTTTAAAGAATTAAATAAGTGTTGTTTTGTAAAATATTACGTTTAGGATATACGTATACAAATTTATATGAAGACATTCTTAAACCTACACTATGGGCATGTTATATTTATCCCTTTTATAAATATATATGGAATTTTTTTGTCTTGTCCTATACAGATTCCTTCTTTCTACCATGAGTGATACAAAAATAGAATCTTAAGAGGAGTTTGTCCTCAAGAAACATAAAGTATATACCTAAATTAGTACACTGTAAAATAAGAAATAACAAGTACAAAAGAGATTCATATGATGTACTATAGAAATTCAAAGATAGAAGATGTAATTTTCAGCTGAGTAAGATTTGAGTTGGATCTTAAAGGTTAAACAGGATTTGGATAGATAAAAGATCTTAATTTTCTAATTTTTTTTTAGAACAATCACTGCAAAGTGACTACTTTAAATGCAATGAAGAAGCTAAGACCTTTCTTAAGGACGTTGCTATTGCTGTTAAGAAATTGGTATTGTATTATCTATAAGAGCTACTTTTTCAATCTTTCACTTATTTCTTCATCAAACTTTAATTTAGCACCAGCTCTGTTCAACATACTTCAATAGATGAATAGGGAAAATATTTGCCCTGAGTGAAAATTTCTCTCAGTTTCCTAAGCATTTGTACCAGTATGGATCAGTAGTGGATTGGTGCCCGATTTCCCATGCAGAGCACTGAATTAAGGACCTGTGCTATGGATGAGGGCAAGACAGCTCAAGAGAAGAGACCCTGCTGATAACAGAGCTCAGTTAAGGGGTGGGCCACATGGGCAAATGCTTGTGACATCAATATGCGAGCATTGCTTAAAACCAGCAAACAACCTCGGGGATAAACTGCATGCATAGTGCCAATTTTCTCAGGTCTCTATAAGCAATTCCTCACAAAACTGGTGAAAGATTATTTGGCACCTACTCCACTGACACACAGTGCTTTTCAGTGAAAAGAAATAGGTTCTCTTTCAGTTATACTAACTTGGCCCCATCAAAGAAATATTTAAAGAATTTCCTCTTGAAGTGTCACAAAAGTGTCTCTGTTTGGCCCTGGTCCTGAGTGATGTTTCAGAATGGCAGTGTCTCCTCATTTGATTTAAAAATATTGAATAAGAATCTACTATCAAATATCTAAAAATGTAGAAATATGGCTATAAAGTTAATGAGCTTGAGTCTACAGACTGCTGAGAAAAGTTAATCTTATTACTTTATAATTATATTTTTATGTAATTATATATAGTTCTGTAGGTATACTACAGAATTATAGTTTATAATCCCAGTTAAGTACATATATGTAAACACTGAGAGTTTGTGTGTGTTGTACTGCACTGTGGTCCTGTGGAAACCCTTTCCTCTGTTTCGTTCTTTTAGTTATGTCTTTCTCCAGGATTTGAAGTGTTCAAAATAATTATTGTGGCTTATCAAAGTATCTAGTATGTCTCCATTTAATATCTGAGCTGTGAAATCTCTTAAATAGAGATAAATCCTCCCATTTTTTAAAGTAACACATTTTCACTATTATAGAAGCATTGCGTGTTTATTCTGGAAAATTTAGAAAAAAATAGACAAGCAAAAGGAAGGATGTAAAAACCAACATGATCCCACCCTAAAACAATCACGATTGACTCTTTGTTGAATGTCTTGACTACTTTCAGGATATAGATGATTCCTGTATTGAATTTTATTTTTTACAGAAAAGTGGTCTTACTAAATATACAATTATGCAACCTGCTTTTTTATTATTCATAAAATACAATGGCAGTTTCTCAGGTCATAAAGTAACTATAGCCATTATGACCGTTTATTTAAGAGGTGATTTATCTGTTCTTTCCACTAGCAGATTTTTGAATGTTTTTTCCTTTTTGAAACTAGCCCCATATATATATATATATATATATATATATATATATTTCCAAACAAATAGGCAGGGAGATATTTTTAGGTAGGTATAAGAAAACCACTGTTCTTTTTATACCTAAGCATAGTTTTATAGGCATTTTCCATTTTTAAATTAAGTAGCTTCCTTTCCTTCTCTTTTTTTTTTTTTTTTTTTCCTCTTGGCATGTGGGATCTTAGTTCCCTGACCAGGGATCAAACCCGCACCCCTACAGTGGAAGCACAGTATCTTAACCACTGGATCACCAGGGAAGTCCCAAGAAGCTTCCTTTCTCAATGTCACCCTTTTGTTGGAGTCTTTCCTTTTAAATTTATTGAAACTGCATACAAGGGACACGCACACATAGTGAAAGATAATTTCTGAGTAGAAGAAAATCAGCAGAAATTAAAAGATAAATTAACAATGACACATTAAAAACTCATTGAAGAACAGTTATTTTTCCCACTTGCTATTCCAAATAAAAATAATGGCAAAAGGTACTTACTGAAAAGCAAATTTTGATCTCTGAAAACATTTACAGGGCCTTGTTTAGGAAATCAATTTTATTATTTTAATGTCTTAACTTTTTAACTATGTAATTTACATTTTCAGGAAGAAATGAGAAAATCCACAATTGATCTTCTGGAAATTGAAAGCATGGAACTCAGCCGACTATATTTTCTACTGGAAACTCTTCCCACTAGTGTTAGCAGAGAATTCGAAGGTACTGTGAGGTTATCAACTGTAGAAATTTAGTTTATCTTATAAGAAAATAGAGCCTAGTACTTGTAGCAAGATGAGTTTAATAGTTATTTCATATCAAAAAATAGCCAGAAAGAGTATACAACACAAATATAGTGAGATCCATGATAAGTTTCCCTTACTTTTTAAGTGGAAATAATATATATGACTTGAATTTATATAATTATTGTAAATAGACTAAAGACAATATTGGTCCTTTTGTGACTGGCTTATTTCACCTGGCATGTCTTTGGGGTTAATCCATGTTGTAGCATGTGCCAGAATTTCCTTTCCTTTTAAGGCTGAACAATATTCCATTGTGTGTATATACCATGTTTTGTTTATCCATTCATCCATCAATGGACCCTTGCATTGTTTTCACCTTTTGGCTGTTGTAAATAATGCTGTTACAAAATAATAATAATATCAACGAAATAGTAAATAATAATGCTATTACAAACATGGGTGTGGAAATATCTATTCAAGGCTCTGCTTCCAATTCTTTTGGGTATAAATGCAGAAGGGAATTGCTGGATTGTATGGTAATATAGTAATTTTATGTTTAATTTTTTGAGAAGCTCCCATACTGTTTTTCACAGTGGCTTCACCATTTTACCATCCCTTGCACAATGCACAAGCATTCCAATTTCTCTACATTCTTGCCAGCACTTGATATTTTCTGTTTTTGTTTTGTTTTAAATAACAGCCATCCTAATGGATAAGAATTGGTATCTCATTGTGGTTTGCACTTCCCTAATAATTAGTGATGTTGAGCATTTTTCATGTGCTTATTGGCCATTGGTATATCTTCTTTGGAGGAATGTCTGTTCAGACCCGTTGCCCATCTTTTAATCAGGTTGTTTGTTTCATTGTGGGAATTCTTTATATATTCTGGATGTTAACCCCTTATCAGATATATGATTTGCAAGTATTTTTTCCCATTCCATGGGTTACCTTATCACTCTTGTTAATAATGACTTTTGTTGCACAGAAGTTTTTAATTTTGACATAGTCCAGTTTATATTTTCATTTGTTGTCTGTGCTTTTTGTGTCATATCCAAGAAATCATGGCTAAATCCAACATTATGAAGGTTTCCCCTATGTTTTCTTCTAAGAGTTTTATAGTTTTAGCTCTGACATTTAGGTCTTTGATCCATTTTGAGTTAAATTTTGTATTTGGTGTAAGGTCAGGCTCCAACTTTATTTTTCCAGCTGCCAGGAGTGTTGGCTGAGGCTAACAGCTCAGTTCCTCTACAGGAATTGCCCTAGACAAAAGAGAAAAGCTTCACTTCAAGTTAGACTCCCTCCCCAACTGCTGCCCACATTCAGTGATTGGTCACCAAGAGAGTAGAAAGGTCTGCCTCCTTCGCTCCATGTGGAATAACTCTGAAGTGTCATCACAGCTCCAACTCATCATCATTTAAACGCTCCACCCTTGCCCAACCCTTATGTCCTCAGAGGAGATGTTCCTCAGAGCTTTACACACAAATTTTAAGATTTGTTTCCCAGGGAGCCCAACCTAAAACAGTTTGTTAAATTAAAAAAAAAAAAAAAAAAATTTTTAAAGTAGATGTTCCCTTGCAGCTCCAAGTCTACGTTCATTGTCTGCTCTGTCATAAGGGAGCTGGGGCACTGTAAATTTCCCCTTTTGCCAGCTGGTGCAATGTTAAGCTTTGCCAGTACAGAGCACTGAAGGGTTACTGGAGGAAAAAGGGGTTGTCGTCCTGTTCTAGTGTGCTCAGCTTGGCCGACTCCTGCAGTGCAGATAGCTTCTGCCAGCAGTGTGCAACAGTCCTTGGTGCCCAGAAGCTCCCTCCAGCATCCCCTGAGTGGCTTCATGGTAGATTGCTCCCTGTGAGGCAGGTACCCTGGCACCGTTTAGGTGGTTTTGCAGTGAGTTCTGAAGTACAGCAATTCCCTGTGGACCAGTCCCCCCAGTGCCCCCAGAAGCCATATTTCTAGTAAGTTCTGCCAGCGGAACATTTCACGAACTTCTTTGCCATCCAATGAGCCACAGACCTCTTCAATGAGGTCTAGATCTCAGGTCTGGAGGTGCTGCTTCCTACAGCCCCTGTAGGGCTGCTCCTTGTACCTAGTATTCCTAAAGTCTTCAGAGTTCTCTTTACTTTCTTAGTATTCGTTCCCTCATTACTCTACTTCTCTGCTACAGTTAATAATTCTTTACATTAAAATTTCCCTATTCAATATAAGATTTCTATCTCCCGATTAGACCCTGAGTGACATAGTTATCAAAGAATTTGCACAGTGTCAGTCTAGTTTGGCAGGGAAAATACAACAAACTCCTACATGCAGATAAAAAATAAGACTTAATCTGTGCTCAAGGCAGAATTAAGAATGTTTTTGTTTTGTTTTCTTTGGTTGCCTTTTTTTTTTTTTTTACTGTCCAGATTGGGTTACTTTTATAAGCAGGAAAAATATTTTAGAAGGAAAAAGAAATACCATGCTAGCTTGTAAGGTCCTTGATACACACTGAGTACTTAGCCAAGTAAATTTAATTGACCTTGTGTTTTAAAGCTTTTCAGCTTGAAGTATGGTCCCTGGGTCAGTAGCATCAGCATCACCTGGGAGCTTGTTACAAAATGCAGAATCTCTAGGTCCACCTCTGACCTACTACATCAAAATCTGTATTTCAATAATATCCCCAGGTGATACATATGCATATTCAAGACAAAGTTTGAAAAGCCCTGCTACAATGAACAATTTAACTTGTAGCCTACAAAAAAAGAATCCAACTCTCTCAGGGGAGCTACCAGCCAGTTTCTAGGGAATTTGTTGCATAGAAATGGACGGCCCAGTATCCATTTCTAAACAGCAGTGTTCAAAAATTCATGCATTTTAACCATGTATCTATCAAGCGCTGAGGTAATCCTTTGAAGTCTTATGTGATTACACTGATTTGTTATTTATTAATGAGTAATTAGTTCTTTAACACACTGGGTTCCCTTGAAAGCACAGCCAGAAGCAATGGCTTTTGCACTATTATTTTATTAGGACATACAATCCAAAGAGGAGGAGGGTGGGATAAGGAACCAAAGCAGGGAGAATGGAGAGCTAATATGGCGTGCAATATGATGTTGACTGCTGCTGACGGCAGGTAGTTGAGTGTGAGAATACACCCTCAAGACACAGTGTTACCTCTTCTCAGGAACACCTAGGCAGTGGCTCCTGTCTACCATTGGTCCGATGCTTGCCACACCTCCCAAACTTTCAGTTACACATGCATGGGGGGTGTGAGTGTCTAAAGAAGTCCCATGGTAGAGGTAACAAGGAAGTCCTAGACAGGTGAGAAGTGGATAGGACAGGCAGGAATCAGGTGCTATCAGACTGCACCGCCTGAAATTGTGCAGAGCTCATAGAAAGCTGGTCACCGACCATAGCAGCAGCTGAAATAAGGGAAATAATTGATAGGTAAGATTGAGAGGGTCCAAAGGGGGTGATTAAGAGGTGTCTGATCCAGGAACATAATTAGAAGAATATTTCAAAGAAAGACAATTTATTATTTGAAAAGTCAGTATCTACAATTGTGCAGTTTCTCAAATAACTGAATAACGTTTCTTCCACTTACTTTTAAGAATGTGTCAGGGATGCCCGAAGATTAAATCTTGTTGAGATAAATCAATTACACATGAAAATTACGAGGATAAATGATGAAATAGAGTTTCTGAAGAAGAAAATACTTGATCTGAAAAAAATTAATAAAGCTCTGGGGTAGGTTTTTTCAGGGGTTTTTTTGTTGGTTTTTTTTTTTTTTTGTATTTGAGGGAGTCAGGGGCTGGGGCTAAAGTGGGAAATCTTTCCTAAGGGATTGTCCTCTGGTCCGAACTGGTGCAGGGCAAGTTAAGAGGTGGAGATCACTTATAGAAGATGACTGGCTGATGAGGGGTGTGTGATGGCTGCAGAGGGCTGGGAAGAGAGCAGAAACTCTTCTACCACCGCAGCCAGGAGACCTGTAAAATTTCAGAGGGAATTCAGCTTCCCAGCAGCAACTACGGTGTGTCAATCACACAGTGCCTCGCACCCCACCTCCAAAGGTAGAAACACACAGTGGTTTTCATTTCCTTTTTAGTAAAATTAAGTTTACAAACCTCAACCACCAAAGCAAGAAATTTTTCTGGGTATTGTGTTGCAAATATGATATCAAACCTGATATATTGTAGCTAGCTTAGTTCCTTAAAGACATTCAGTTATAATCTACTGGAGGGTTGAAAATGGGATTGGCTCTAGATTTTATCTTCAATTAAATGAGGGCTGACACCTGTTAGTTTCTTTTCTTTATTCCTCAGCTGTGTTGTTAGGACTTCCCCCTCTGTGGAAGAAGTGCTTTTCTCCATCTATAAAATGGAGATTACAAATCTTGACTTAGCCCACTGAAGAAGAGATATTCTGAAAGAAAAAAAACAATAAAACCCTGAAGAATAACTCAGTACTACAAGTAAATTCTCAAAAGTAATTCTCAAACTTTCAGTTTGTTGGAGTAAGAAATACTCAAAGAGCCCTCATTATAGTGAAAAAATCTTCTTGGGAAGCTAAAAGAATCAGAAGGTTGCTTGGTGCACAAGATATCAAAGCATCAGGAATTAGGTGGGGACCTCAAGGCCCAGGGACAGGTTCCCAAAGTAGGCCCTCAGAACACCTATTCTGGGAGATGCTCCATGAAAAAGAAAGTTCATGACCACGTAAGTTTGAGAAAGACTGCATACTCTAACTCCTCTTAGGGATTCACAGTGCAGATTTGTGCATGGTGCATGCTAGCCACAATCAAAACTAGACTATCAATTTCTAAACTAATAACAAGGGAAGATAATATCCAGGCTGGAATACTCATATCAACTGACCAGCACCATCACACCCCTATAGACCAGTGATTCTTAAACTTGAGTGTACATCAGAATCACCTGGAACACTTGTTAAATTACTGGGACCTCCACCCCAGATTTCTGATTTAGTAGATCTGGGCAATGGGGGTAAGAATTTGAATTTCTAACAAGTTCCTAGATGCTGCTGATGCTGCTGGTTCTGACCACACTTTGAGAATCACTGCTCTAGAGAAATCTTTATGGAAAGTCAAATTACAAATGAACATAATGTGGGTTGCCTGATGAGCTAGCATCATCAAGCTACAATCACTTATTGCATCCATTTTTCAAAGAAAGATGTATATCAAGGTGCCCACACTCCCTGACAAGTGATCCTCTCCTGGACACTCCTCAAAAACTGGACACAGTCCTCAGAAACTGGGGATGGGGATTTCCTTGGGTCCTACATTCCATTTCTGAGAGCTTTCCCAACCCAGCACAATACACCTAGTCAGGTGTATTGATTTGACTTGTTTTGTTTTGCTTTGCTTCCTTAAGGCCACTCAATCCTTAGTTTGCTTCATTCTTAGAAGGCTTCCTCTACTAAACCTACAAAGCACCCATTATCTGGCCCCATCTAGCCTGAGCTTCTCTTAATTGCCTTTTCTGTGGTAGAGTTGACTTCTGGAAAATAAACTTACCAACAACCTGTTTCCACTTTCCTGAGCCTTTCACACAGTCCGCCTGAGCTAGATAGAGTGTTTAGCCTTGGAGATTAGAAAAAGAAAAACGGCATTACATTGCAGGAGCTTTGAAAAAAGGAAAATAGAGAAATGTCACCAATTGTCCTTCCTCCAAATCTTTTATTGTTAGCCCTGGGGTAGATGTTTCTCACAGTCTTAAGGTGGGTGTGGCCAGCAATGGATATGTGAGGTTAATGTCTCCTCTTGTACTCAGATTTGGCTACAGCTGTGAGAAGATAAGTGGGTTCAAATTAGATTTCAAACGCCCTCTGAGCAGTGAAGACAGACTCAGATCCCTCCTCCCCAATTCCTTTCCATCAGAGGAGGATTAGCTTTCTTCTCCTGGGCCTTCTCTGCAGGGCAATGGCATCAGAAGGTGGCTGGAAGAGTGGTGGGATGTTTATCTTTCCTTGGCTTAAACTACATATCTCAGGATGATAAGGTAGCTATGGCAATGCTACATATCAAACCATTTGTCCAGCCAGATTCCATTCACCTGTTCAAAACTGGTTTTGAATCATTGTATGTTTTAAACCAAAATATCCCATAGTTACTACCTAGTGTGTGAGAGTGGGTGGGGTGAGGCAGGACCACAAGACACTTTTGCAGTGATAGAGTTGCAAGGTTGACACTTGTGTTTCCTTCTGTCCTTCATCGCAACCAACTTCAGACAATCACAAATTCAACTCTAAAATAAGTATTCGTTAAATTTCCCTCTTTATGGTGGTTCATCTCATCAAGCCAACTTTAAATTTCTTCCTGGAAAGCCATCCTTTTCATGCCAAGAACGATTCTTTTTCTCCTAGTGAACAGCAAGAGGAACTAGCGAGGCATTATGAAAATGTTGTCCTGTCACTCAACCATGCGATGAAAGAAAAAGCCACTACCACTGTTTACATCAATGAGACTTATACCAAAATTAACTCAGAGAAGAAAGAACTAGAATTGCAAAGACAATATATTCAAGAAGTAGAGGAGCAAATGGAAAAAGAAAAAGCAGAATATTTGGGAAAAAAACAAAAGTTGAGTCAAGAGGTAAGTGGCATGATTTACTTTTTTAAAAAATACAGAATTGAGGGCAGGAAATGAGAAATAACTTATTTGTCCTTGATGCTAGCAAGCATGCCCGTGGTATCTTCTGCAGGAATAGAGCAGAGGCTCAAGGACACTGGAGCCTGTGGGGAAGATGTCTGATTGTGTAGCGGCATCTGAGTTCATGGGAAAGAATATGAATGACAGGAGTGGTAACACTGGGGTGGCCCCTTGCTTATATGCAGCACTGTAGGTACTAGGAATTTGCTTCTGTGTCACTTGGTTGTCTCTGCAGACAGGATGAGCGAGTTCAGATCTGCCGGAACTGATGCCGAAACCCGAACTCTGTGCACCGTCACCACATTGAGTCTCAGAGAGAGTTTTGGGGTATTGCTTTGCCGAGAAAGGGGGGCCACAGCGGGTTAATGCCCTCAAAACTGTGTGTCCCCAGCCTGGGTGGGTGGGTTGTGAGGGGAAGGGTTGCTGATAAGGATCAGGGCGCGTGTGGGGCCTGCATCCCTTCAACCCAGAGATCATCTGGAGTCTGGTGGTCTGGTGATGGCTTCTGCGGCTCTCAAGGTTATCGAACTGTGACCTTCTCTCTGGAATGAAGAGCGCTTCAACAGGTAGTTAGCATCTTCCATTTGGTGTGGGTTTTAATGCTGTAGAAGAGCTCAGAGATATTGTTATGTGTGTCCCTTGAGGAGGAACCAGGACCCTGCCCCAAGGCTACACTATTGTTTCCTCACTGCTCCTCCCTTGTCTCTGGATCCCCTCCCTTCCCTGATTAGCAACTGTTTAAACCTGCTCTTTGGAACTCAGGGAAGGTCATGGAGGCTGACTAAAGCTTCCTACAAACAAGAAACGGGACAGGGAAAGACTTTTGTGCCCAGGAGCCCCAGAGTGTACTGCTTGGTTTCAGAACTTGTGCCTCTTACTGAATGAATCCAAGAGGAGAGGCCTGCAGAGGGTCTAGGCAGAGCCAAGGGCCCTGTCGACTGAAAAAAAAAAAAAAAGTGCAACCTAGAAGTTGTGAATTTTGTTGTATTTGAGGACCTTACTGAGGACTGTAGCCTGGGAAGGCAGCCTCTAAGATAGTTCTGAGGAAGTGTTCCAAAGAGGTAATGGAGGAGCCAGGATATGTAGAAGTTTTTGCGGGGGGGAAAAAACAGATAGTCCAACATCAAAAGATTATTGCTAATCACAAAAAGACAGGCATCTCAAGGTAATGATTTTAGTGCTTTTCTATGTATGGGAAGATTCAAGAGTCTGGGCTCATTGAAATCATTCCTTTGATAGCATCTTAACTACCTAGGGTCAGTATCCTGTTTTTCTCCATCCTGAAGCCCCTCAGGGCACACCATCAGGCTGAGGCTGCACAGTAGCTGATGGCTTGATGGTGAGTAACATTCGTTGTTTACTGAAATGACAGGCCACATTTTTTGTCCACAGCCCCAACAGAGAAGGGTATTTTGAGACCAGCAATTTTGTGAGGGTCAGTGGAGATAGCTACTGCATCCTGAATTCTAAATAATTCACCCTCAGAATGGCTTCTGATTGATTCCTCTTTGTTCTGCTTCCGGTTGCCCCAGGGGAAGCAGGGCTATCTCCGTGCTAGGTGTTCCTAGCAGCAGCCTTCTTTTCCTCCATGCAGTGAGGGCCTAGCCCAGGATGGAAATTGCTGTTGAGCTCCTGGTGCTGCCCTCTGCATCATGGGAACTGGCATAACTATAATGCAGGAAATTGGACCTGGGCTTGCAACCCTGCTATATTAAATATGCATAAAGATATATATATATATATGTATAAAGAAAGAAAGAAAAGAACATTTATTAAATTGCACTTCTTGAGTCTCAATTAAAATTTAGTAGAATACAATCTGGCAGTGATCAACATTTTGATGCAAGAGAGAGAAATATCACTCCCTGGGAAGTGCAGGCCCCTGGGACAGACTGCCAAGTGAGGGTGCTTGGCTTCGCAAAGAAAAGAATTCAAGAGTGAGACAAAGGGAAAGCAAGTTTATTTAGCGAGATACACATTCCTTAGGCCGAATGCCGAGGTCTCAGAAAGCGAGAGTGGCCTCAGGGTGTGCGGGTGGTTAGTTTTTATGGGCTGTGTAATTTTATACGATAACAAGTGGGAGGAATATTCTATTGCAATATTTTGGGGAAGGGGGTGAGGATTTCCAGGAATTGGGCCACTTCCCTCTTTCTGGCCTTTTATGGTCAGCCTGGGAACTGTCACGGTGCCTGTGGGTATGTCATTTAGCATATGCTAATGTATTACAATGAGTGTATAATGAGGCTTAAGGTCTACTGGAAGTCTTCCACCATCCTGGGCCTATTGATTCTAACAAGTTTTTTGTTTTTTTTTTTGGCTGCATTGGGTCTTTGTTGCTACGCTCGGGGCTTTCTCTAGTTGTGGTGAGCAGGGGCTACTCTTCATTGCAGTGCGTGTGCTTCTCATTGCCGTGGTTTCTCTTGTTGTGGAGCACGGGCTCTAAGCGCTCGGGTTTCAGTAGTTGTGGCATGTGGGCTCAGTAGTTGTGGTGCACGGATTTAGTTGCTCCGCGGCATGTGGGATCTTCCCGGACCAGGGCTCGAACCGGTGTCCCCTGCGTTGGCAGGGGAAGCCCCTAATCAGTTTTTAGAGTATCCTGTTTTTCTCCAACAGCTTTGTCCCCTTCCTCATTCTTTTAATGGTTTTGCCCTGCCCTCTCCCTTCGTCTCAGTTTGGTTCTTGGGATGATTGGTTTCATGATAAGACTATTCATAAGTTCCAGTCAGGTCTGAGAGTCTCTATCCTTTAAAGTGCCCCTGTTTTCAGAAACAGTTTTACACTAAAACCATGGATTATTTTTCTTAAGTATAGACAGTTCAGCCCTAGTCATCCTCAGAACAGGCACTTTGTGAAGTCGCTGGCAAAGAGTCCCTTGGGCAGTCTGCAGCCACTAAACAGAATTTGTAAAAGCTGAGTTCCCTGGACCTTTTCCGGGGGTGAAGGCAGCTGTTAGCCTGCATTGCAGTAGTGGAGTCAACTGAAATTCCTGACTCTTATCAGTGGACTAGACCTTGCTTGGATTTTTTGTTATTGCAATGAAATAGAGTCAGGACAACAAGGACCTAAAGGGGTTTTCCTGTTTTCATTCTCTACCCACAACAATGATGAGAGGACTTGATTTCACCCACTGTTTCCAGCCCTCTGCTGGACTTTCTCTATGAGCAGTCTGGAAGCCCCACACTGGAGGGGTTCACTGAAGTTATAGGGGCAGAAAGTGGGATGTGTCTGCATGGACACAGGGGAGGGACGATGTGCAGGGCAGTGTAGGTTAGGAGTGGGGAGAGCCTTGTCCCTTTTCTTTACTTCCCCAGGGGCTGAAACAATGGTCAGTAGTGGCATGGGATCTGAGCTTTGCCCACCAAAAGGAAGGCTCCACCAGGCAGGGATTTTGTCTGGCTTTTTTCATTGCTAAATTCTAGCATCAGGATCAGTGCCTCTCGCATGTTGTAGGCACTCTATAATATTACTGTATTGAATGATTGAGTTTCTAACTTCATTTTAAGCTCTAAAGGGAAGTTTCTACCCTCCCCAACCCCTTCCTATTCTTTAATATAAATGTTAAAAGGAAGGAAGCCCAGAGGGGCTTCAAATTGAGAATTTGAGAACATGATATGTTCTCCTTCCTTTTGTGAATAGTGTTTCTCAGGGATCCACAAACTTTTTCTGAAAGGGGCCAGAGAGTAATAGGGCTTTGTGGACCATACACAGTCCCTGTCACAACTACTCAACTCTGCTGTTTTAGCACAGAGAAGCCAAGAGCACTACCGAAATAAATGAACGTGGCTTCACAAAGACAGGTGCAGGCTGGATTTGGCCTACAGGTAGTAGTTTGCCTACCCCTGGTCTATCTCCCTGGAAAAGAGTTAGGATACTTTCAGATGCAAATAGCAGAAGCCCTGACTCAAACTGACTTAAATAGTAAGGACATTTATTATCTTACACAGTAGGAATTCCCAAGGTAGGGCAGACTGCAGGACTAGCTAATTCAGTGGCTCATCCCTCCTCCATCTTTCATCTTAAGGCTGGTTTCCCTCTTCATCACAAGACGGCTGCCAGTGACAACTGGACTCTGTTTCCTTTCTCAAGTAGAAAGAAGAAAACCTTTCCCAACCAAGGACATAAGTTTCTTGCTATGCCTGATCCGGCCAGGTTAAGACAGTGCCCACCCCAGAACAATAGTGGATCCTAAGGGAAAACGTGTACAAGTGGACTAGACCAACTGGGAGTGGATATTAAGGACTCAACCACCAATGCTCACTAAATGCACATCATATGCCATAGTAACAGCCTGTTAATTCCCTTTATTTCCAATGAGAAAGGAAAAGCTGTTTACAGCTGTCAGAGTCTTCAAACCGTAAGTTCTCTTCTAACACAAAAGAGTTTTTGCTAATATTATTTCTATAATTGCAAGACCCAAGACCTTGGGAGAAGGCTTAGGCCAAAGTATGAGCACAGAATTTCAATTTTCAACAAAATTTATTATCACCAAGTTTCATTTTAATGCACCTGTGCCCTAGTGCAGAGATAACTGAAAATGTTCACATTCATTCAGAGTAACCACTTTGGGTGAATTGGCTGGTGGCTTTGATGTAAAGCCACACAAACATGTTTTCATAACTCTTTAATACAGAGTTAAATATACTTTCTCTGGCCTTACTATTCAGTTACCTTTTTCTTCATAATTCATTTTGCCAGACAAATCCATGATGTGTCTGATTTTGATAAGGTGACTCATTTCAATAGGATCTGACAGGTAATCACAATATGTTTAATCATAGGAAAACTTATTTATCCTGTCAGTGAAAATAATCAATAATCAATCTGTAACAAGAATAGAAAAGTTTTTTATTTGAGCCAAACTAAGGACTAGCTCAGAAGCCATCTTCCCAGGTTACTCTGAGAAGCTGCTCCAGAGAAGCATGGTTTTCAGTATAGTTTATTTT